CACCCGTAGCAAACAACTCCCTTTTTCTGTCACCACCAGATCCTTTCATATGATTTGCCAAATAATTAGTACACTGGAAACAAAATGGATTCTGTAAGGCCTAGTAGAAAATAGCGATGAAACTGACCAATACTATACCATACAAGGCATGGAGATCAGCAGGATTAAGTTTAGCTGCTTGCTCATAATAAGCACGAGCGAGGTCTATGTTCTCTTGGCCTCCTTGGGTATACCTTATATCAGCAAGACGTCGAAGGTACAACGTGTTTAATGGCTTAAATCAATGAGTTGGGCGTGCTTTGAAGAAGTAACGCAATCTAAAAAAAAATGCTAACCGCAGCAAGTACGCATTCTTCCAAGCAATGTGCAGCTTTAGCAAAATCATTTTCAGCTAGAAATAATTCACTAAGTTGAATCCAAGCTTCCGAATCATTCAAAAAAATCTAAAATAAAAAGTACAAAGATAATCTGGAAAAGAGTAAACATGATAAAGTGAAACAGACTTTAAGGTAATCATTAAGTTCACGGATTGCTTCAAGTCTCAATCCTTGCGCCAACAAAACAGCAACTTTTCGTTTACGAAACGACTAAATGAGAAAATAGTGTTTTAATGAAAGGGGATAAACAGTCATAAATGGAAACTTACATTATTCGTCGGGTCGTTTTCAATAAGCCTTTCATACAGTGCTAATGCGGTATCAAACCTATGAGATTAATAATAGTGATAAAATTGTGAACTCGGTTTCAAAACAGAAAATTAAGAGTGATCTCAACTACAGCTTGAATATTTAAGTTAAGCAAGAAGTCCTTCAAACTCTTCTGTAAACTGATAACATACTGATCAGCTGCTTCATGATGCATGGCTTGCAACCTCAGAACCCGATTACTTCGCGGAAAACGATGATTTAAAGCTGATATACATTCACCGGCGAGATCAAGTCGAGCACAATCCAGTGCCGCAATACAGACCTGGAAATGCTGCGAAATAGAGATATAAAAAATATCTCTATAAAAGCAAGAAATGATAACTAGAGGATAACGTAATTTTAGGTATACAGACAAACCTGCTCATATACAATCCAAAGCTCATCTCCAAGCGAAGATGGTGAACGG